GCAAGATTGAGATTAGAAGTCAACTTACAGGTTGATTGTAAATCTCAACGCGGTCATAACAAGTTTGTAATTGACATCACTGTATTGAGACCATTTACTTTAGGCGCTAAAAACAGATCAGGAAAGACAGTTGGCGGCTAAAGAGCAGGAAGCAGAAGAAAAGAGAAAGTCATTGTTGAAGCAGATCCGTGACTTAGAGGACGAGCTTGAAACAGAACGTCGAAGCAAGGTTTGTAAGCACCATTACACGTTGATTTAGAGGTGTCGTTTTGTCCCATATTGGGCTTCCGTTCTAGAGTGGTGCTGTCTCCCAGCGAAAGAAAGTGGAATCGCAAATGGGTGAACTTGAGCAGCAGCTGAATGTGGCTAATCGGTTAAAGGACGATTACAATAGGCAGTTAAAGAAGTTTCAGCAGATAACAAAAGAGCTGCAGTATGATGCAGAAGAAACACGGCAAGCCAAAGAGGAACTAGCTACAACATTGAGGGATGTTGAACGGAGGTATAACTGGATTTTAGTTTGTATGAAATCAATGAATGTGTTTTAAAACACCGGTCACTCTGAGTTTTCGACATTGGCGAAGTTGTATTGGTCTGAGGTTTTTTCGAGGCTTCGGTCTATGGAATCAGAAAATACGCGTCTTATCGAGGTAAATGAGGACTTACTTAATCAGAAGAGGCAACTAGAGGCAGAAAAAGACGAACTTGAGGAAATGCAGGGTGCGGAAGGTGATATGAGTGCTGAAGAAAAAAGAAGATTTGAAGTTAAAATTGCATCTTTGGAGGAAGAATTAGAGGAGGTGCAGAGCAACTGCGAGGTTGCGTTGGATAAACAAACGAAAGCTCAATCACAAGTTAGTTCTATTCTTTTCTTATATACTCGTGTTTTAATTGTTTACTTTTGCCATTTTCGTTTTATGAAGTTACTTGAACTTCGTCAAGTAAGTTTTAGGTCGAACAGCTTACGACTGAGCTTTCGTTTGAGAGGTCTGTATCGCAGAAATTGGAGGGCGAGAAACAGACCCTTGAGAGGACTAATAGAGACCTAAAAGAGAAGATTGCTGAGTTGGAAACATCTGCTCAAATGCGATCCAGGGCGCAGATTGCCGCACTTGAAGCCAAGATACAGTTTTTGGAGGAACAATATACTGCAGAAGCTCAGGAAAGAGCAAACATTTCTCGTCAGGTTAATTTTTCAGCTTAGATGAGTTTGTCAATTCTTCTTTTTCATTATTGGCCAAATTACTAAGAATGTTTTTGGTTTTTTCTTTGTAATGGAATGAATTCAGTATCGGCGTGTTGAAAGAAGGCTCTCAGAAGCACTAATTCAAGTAGAAGACGAGCGTCGAAATACTGAGCAGCATAAGGAACAGGTCAATTTTCTATTAGATTGTCATCGGTTTCCTACGGGTCAACGAGTCGTCTGAAGAAAATGGTGATGTTAGTAAGAAGTACCATAAAGTGATTGTAAAAGAGCTGTTTATTTAGGCTGACAGAGCTAATGTTCGTGCGCGTCAGCTGCGGCGTCAGCTAGATGAAATTGAAGAGGAAATGTCTCGTGAACGAGTAAAGTCTCGCAACTTACAACGAGAGATAGACGACTTGACAGAGGCGAATGAATCGTTGCTGCAAACGAAGAACTTGAGAAGACAACCGAGGCCGAGCCGGGATAATTTTAGCGGTCGTCGAATGCATTTTCAAAACAATGCTCCTCAAGATGATCTTG